GGGGAGAGGGGGGACACAGGGAGGTGCAGACTGGCTGGGCCAGCTCAGGATGTGAAGCCCGAAGGGCTGGTCCAGTCCTCGCCATCCACTTCCAGCTGCAGACATCGACCAGGTCCATGGTGTCTGTGTGACATGGCTCACGCTCAGCCTGTGTGGCCTCAGTTTCCTCACCTGTAACCTCAGCGACCTCAGCTGCTGAGTGGGGGAGAATCACTCACCTAATGAGGTCTAAACCCTGACTTTCCAGGCGTGGTCCTCAGACCCTGCTGTGGAATGGCTGGGAGGGCGGGTGGAGGACACTTCAGCTTCACTCTCTGCCGGGAGGCCCGGCTCAGCGGGGTCCAGTTTGTGGAGATGGGGACACGTGAGCCTAGTGTGGATCCCCTAACAACCTCCAGCTGATGGCGCCGCAGCCCTCGGAGAATCGCCAGGTCTCATCCTGGGAGGCGGCATGTCCTCCGTGGGGGCGAGCGGCTGGCTCGGGGTGTCCCAGGCAGGCATGGCGCCGGCTCCTCCCTCTGCTAACGCGGCTCCTCCTCCGCAGGGACCCGCGTGATGGTGGCTTATGAAGAGGACAGTCTGAGCCCTGCACGAGTAGTTAGCTGGGCCGAGCTGCTCGCCGCGCTTGCCGGGCGGCAGGCGTGAACCTCTGGACCTCCACGTCGGACCTGAGGGGAAGTATGTCTAAAAAAGGCCGGAGCAAGGGCGAGAAGCCCGAGATGGAGACGGACCTGGTGCAGATGGCCAATGAGGAGCTGCGGGCCAAGCTGACCAGCATCCAGATCGAGTTCCAGCAGGAGAAGAGCAAGGTGGGCAGCGCGGGCCTGGCCTCCGTGAGGGCTTGGCCATGGACGGGTGGGCTGAGTGTGTCCTGGGTATGTGTGGAGGGCACGCTTCCTCCTGGGGCGTGGTGGGCGCTTTCCCCTAGTGCCTGCAGAGGTGCAGACCGCAGTCTTGCTGCGTGCCGCTGAGACTCGGGCCAGTGCACAAGTGTAAGCTTCATTTCCCCCTACTGCAAGGTGGGCGGCATAGGAGTCCCCGCCAGCTGCAGACGGGTCTTAGCACTGCCGAAAGAGCCTGGGACAGGTGTGCTCGGTCTGTGAGCTGGGTACCCCTGGCAGGCTGGGTGTAAGCTCTGGGGCCGGACACGGCAGCGCTGCCAGGTGTGGGCCTGGTGCAGTACAGTTAAGGCACAGATGTGACACAGAGCCCGTCATCTTGCAGACCTGGCCCTGACTGGCTTCACCCTCTCGGGCAGTCGACTTGGGGCCTCTGAGCCTCGGTGTCCCCAGCTTGTCTGTGCTGTACAATAGCTGCCCCACTCCAGGTTGTCATGAAGGCCTGATGCAGCGGACAGTGAAAGCCCCATGGCGTCTGGTGTCCATGGCTGCCACTGTCCTTTTGTCAGTGTGGCTGTGCCTGGGTGGGTTTGGGGTAGCACTGGCCTGGGCTCTGTGACCTGGAAAGGGGTGGGGTTTGGGTCTATGTCTGGCTGGTGTGAGCAGCAGAGGGCCTGGCCCAGCTGGGGAGGTGACGCTGGCCCTGCTGTGGAACTGGAGCCTGTGACGGGCAGCAGGTGGCCCATCCTGCTGGGTGCTGGGGCTCAGGCCCAGCGGATGTCTGAGTGGAGCCCAGCTCCTGGCGGGAGAGGGGCTGGTATCTTGGCCCTGGCTGTGACCCTAGATCAGGACACCGCAGGGAGCAGCACCAGGAGGCCAGCGTCTGGGGCTCATGGGCAGGGCCACACCTGCTGCCCAGCTGGGACAGCCACCTCTTCCAGCTGAGGCTGCTGTGGTGCCACTGCCCACACCCTGCCTGGTCAGGAGGGCTGCACCTGCCAGGTCCTTCAGTGCTGAGGCTGAGTGCCTTGAGGTCTGACCGGGAGTAGCGACAGCAGCTGCGGTTACGGGAAAACTGCATCCCTGCGATGCCGGCCTGTGAGTTTCCAGGAGAGATGCAGGGCAGCCACACAGTGACGGTTGCTGCTGGGTGGACACTCGGTCTTCAGAAGCTCCATCTCAGGTGACCCTCCTGCCTCTGGGACACATGGCGACTCTCCGTATGCAGGTGCTGGCCCATCTGGTCCACCCAGCTCCCTGTGCCTGCTCTGTAGGGCCTCACACATCTGGCCACAGGGAGGGTTGTTGTCCTCGGAGCATTCAGCAGTGGCCTTGCTGTCTGGTGTGAAAAACATAAATGTAAACTTCACAGTTGCACTTAAATGATTCCTTTATTTTGATCTCATACTCTCAGTGTCACATTTATAGTGTAGTTATTTTATTTATAAATTTATTTATTTATTTTTTGAGACAGGGTCTCCGTTTGTAGTTCAGACTGCCCTGAACTCACTATGTAGCCTAGGCTGGCCTCCAACTCATGCTGATCCTCCTGCCTCAGCCTCCTGAGTGCTGGGATTACAGGTGTGCACCACCACGCCTGGCTGTACAGTGCTGTTATTTTAGCAAAAGATCCCTGTTAAACACTGTAGGGTAAGGGAGAGTGGTAAATGTGTATGTTTGTTCATTCATTCATGCAGCAAGCCCCCTGCAGGCACACTGTGGCCTGGGCTGACGCGCATCTGGAAGTGACTCAGAAACAGCCTGTGCGCTCACACTGGGTGATGCAGAGACCCACATGGACCACGGCCTCACGGCACTTGGCACACCTCAGCGGGCTCATAGAAGACGTGCGAGGGGGGGCTGTGAGTCCGCACAGTGGAGCAACCCCAAGGATCTGCTGGTGGAAGGGAAGGGAGTATATTCACACTGCCCGTGTGCCCAGCAGCACCCACCCACGGGCATCCTGAGCGTCATTCAGGGGTGGGCAGAGCCGCAGCTCGGAGAAACCCACGGTCAGGGCAGTGTGGGCGAGGCCGGCAGGCAGCCCCCAGCCAGAGCCAGGACGCCCGGGTTCCAGCTGCCACTCACTTGCTAAGCATGGAGTCGTAGCTTCCTGCTGTCACCGGCCACTCCGGCCAGTGCTGACCTGGGCCTCAGAAGGGTGTGGACCTCACTCTGTCCTCAAGGGCTGCTGGCTGGAGGAGGGCAGGAGGGCTGGCATGCAGGTGCCATCTGAGTGGAGACCCAGGAGGCAGCACAGACCCATCTAGGACTAAGGGAGGCCTTGCCCCGCCCCCTTGCCGTCTGGAGGGCGGCACAGGCAGAGGCTGCCCAGGCAGGCGGTGGACCGCGTGCCGGCCGGGGCCCGATGATGATGATGATGGTGCTGGGCTCCGGCCTCCCCTTGCTGCCCCTGTGCTCTCGTTGTCCTTATTCCCAGCTCTGCCGGGCAGGTCATCCCCGCTTCTTCCCGCAGCTCAGTCCTGCGTGCGTGTGGGAAGTGAACGCAGAGAGTCACCCATCATTTATCCAGCCCTGAGAGCACCTGCAGAGCCTGAAGGGAGGAGAGAGCCAAGGGCTGGGGCAGGCACTGCTGGGTGGGGGTGGCTGAGCCCTGGCCGCAGGTCCAGGGCATCCAGAGCCGAGTGGTCAGGGCCCGGGTAGGACATCGGTCGGAGAGCCACAGAGGTCAGTCCTGGGGCCAGAAGGGCTGGGGCTGTGTTCTGAGTACTGTGGGCTCTCAGGGTTTTTTGGTACTTTATACTTTTGTCTTTATTTAATCATTTTTTATGTCAATATAGACTCACGGCACCTGTGTATTCTGTTGCTCAGGCTGTTTGAGAGTTGGCCACACAGAGCTGTCCCACTGGTGCCCATGTCCCTGTGGCACCTGTCATTGGGGAGGCTTTTTTTTTTTTTGGTACTGGGGATCAAACTCGGGACCTTGTGCTTGCAAGGCAGGTGGCAGAACCACTGAGCTATATCCCGGGCCCCATCAGAGGTTTTGCTATTGATTTTTTTGTTTTTGTTTTCTCTTTTCTATACTTTCTGGCTCATCTTGCACGTGCCCTGCCCTAGTCTTGGGACCAGTGTTTCTCAGAGGAGCCTGGTGCTTCTTCTTAGGGGAGGATAGTGTTTAGAAACCAACGTGGGGGTGCTGGGGTGCCCACAGTGGGTGGGGTGCACTGCCCATGTGCTGCCACATCTGTACGTGGCTCTGTGTGTGACGTCGTGTCTGTGTGATGTTATGAGTGGCTTCTCACTGATGTTCCTGCACTAACCCAAGGTGGCCTGGTCGGTCCTGCCCCTCCCCTCAGAGCCTCCTCGTCACAGTGAGGAGCCTGGCGCCCCCCTCTTTCCCAGTTGTTCAGCTGTGTGGTGTGGCCCCGCCCCTTGGGACCAGGACTTGGGGTGATGGAGGGTGTGACCCATCTCCACCCCCACACCTGTGTCACTGGCTCGTCCTGCCCAGCACCCTCTGCCCCGCCCTGAGGCGGCTCCACACTCATCCCTGGTTGCCCCGAACACACCTGTGCCCCTGCCCACTCCCCTCCCCTTCCTCCCTGTGACTCGAGCCTGGGTGAGCTCGCACCTGGCACCCACACTCCAGACCACAAGAGCAGACCTCTGCGCCACCCAGCCCCTTCCTTGGCTGGCAGGTTTGCAGTGTGCAGGACAAACCAGCAGGAAGGGCTCACCTTGCAGTCTCAGCCCAAGAGCAGCCTGGGCAGAATTCTTTCCTCCAGTGGAAACTTTGGAGTTTCACCCAAGACCTCCAACTGAACAGTGAGGCCCACCCAGTCCGCTTTACTCAGTCTGCTGACACAAAGCTCCCTCAGCTAAGGAATGCCCCACAGCAACACGTGGCGTGGTAACCGACCAGATCACTGGCAGCATGGCCCGGCCGCGCTGGCTCAGGAAATGAACCAGAGCAGCTCTGGGATCTAATGGCCCCATCCTCTGACTGAGGCTGCTGTTGACGCTAACCAGGGAGGTTAGGACTGTGGGGCCTCCTAGAAAGGAGAGGGCATAGCGTTTTGACCCTGACTCGGAAATCATGTAAAGATTTAAAAGTCTTGGCTTCCTGGCACTAAATCCACTAGGAAAAGACTCAGTTTCAGCTCTGGGCAAGGTGGACCAGGGACGGCTGGTCACCTTGTTTACTTCTGTGGCTATGTATCATCTCAGAAGATGTTGATCCCCCATGAGCTTGATTTGATGGCCTTGCTTCTTTTCCTGCTGTTCCAGGGAAGGATTTATCAATACTCAGGTGTCATATAACTCACCTAGAATTAATCGGTTCATAGTCAGCAGTGAACGGTGTGGTCTGGGGCTCCGGTGCCATTTTCCACTGGTGCTGCTTGTCCATAGTGGGGGAAGGGGGCACTGGCTGCAGGAGGGGTAGAAACAGGAGGCACAGGGCTTGAATTAGGAAATATTTAGTAGCTGCTCTGTGGGACGTGGGTACTATGTGGCATTTGAAACGAAAACTCCAGTAAAGTATTCTGGAATGTTGTAAGAAAACACATGGCACATTTTACAAATGACCTTTTATTTTAAACTGTTTGCTTATCAGATGCACACACTCAGGCATATGTGGTGGCTTGGCACCTGCAGAGCACAGGTGCTGGGGACCCTCCTTCCCTCCCACCACCTGCCCTTTCTTCTCCTGGGGGCCGCAGCCCCATGCACAGGGGCACTGGAAATGCGTTTCTGGTTCAGAACCTTGCTGGTGTTGGTGAGAGATGGTTTCCGTGGTGTGTTTGTGGTTGGTGCACACCCTTCTTCACCTGGGAAGGAAAAGGCATCCAGGGCTTAACTCACCAACACTCTCAGGGCTTGCCACCTCCAGGACAATCCCAAGACAGCACTGGAGGAGGAAGGGTGCTTGCTGGCTTGCTGGTGGGGGCTTGGGGAAGCTCAGGAATGTCAGCTTGACCGCACAGGGAGCAGGAGTGTGGGGACTGGGGGTGTCCCAGGGCCCGCGGAAGCCTGGCGCCCTCCTGGCCCACACCCGAGCCTGACTGCCTTGCCTTCCTGCTGCAGGTGGGCAAGCTGCGAGAGCGGTTGCAGGAGGCCAAGCTGGAGCGTGAACAGGAGCAGCGGCGGCACACGGCCTACATCTCGGAGCTCAAGGCCAAGCTACACGAGGAGAAGACCAAGGAGCTACAGGCCCTGCGTGAGGCGCTCATCCGTCAGCACGAGCAGGAGGCTGCACGCACAGCCAAGATCAAGGAGGGGGAGCTGCAGCGGCTTCAGGCCACGCTGAATGTGCTGCGTGACGGCGCGGCCGACAAAGTCAAGTCGGCGCTGCTGGCTGAGGCACGTGAGGAGGCGCGCAGGACCTTCGATGGCGAGCGCCTGCGCCTGCAGCAGGACATCTTGGAGCTCAAGGCGGCGCGCAAGCAGGCCGAGGAGGCGCTCAGCGACTGCATGCAGGCGGACAAGGGCAAGGCGGAGCCTGCGCCTGCAGCAGGACATCTTGGAGCTCAAGGCGGCGCGCAAGCAGGCCGAGGAGGCGCTCAGCAACTGCATGCAGGCGGACAAGGCCAAGGCGGCCGACCTGCGCGCCGCCTACCAGGCGCACCAGGACGAGGTGCACCGCATTAAGCGCGAGTGCGAGCGTGACATCCGCAGGCTGGTACGTGCCCGCCCCCGCGTTACGCTGTGCTCCCTTCCCCTCCTGCCGGCGAGCTCTTGCGGGCCCCACCGTGCTCCAGGTACTGCTCCAGGGCTGGGCTTCAGCAAAGCCCCCCAACGCGGGCACAGTAAGGAGGCGTGGTCGTGGCTACAGATCGCCCCGCCTTTGGTGCGTGGCCTCTAGGTGACGCGGTATAGTGTTGTCATTTTAAGAGTGGCCGGTGGGTTAGGAGGCAGGGCCCAGGTAAGACAGGAGGACCGTGCTGTGGGATCAGAGTGCTAGGTGCTGCCTCATTCATTCGCTGAGCCCTGCTTCCGGGTAAGCTGCGGTGAGTAGGCCAGGGCGGGTCCTCATGCCGCCACACCCAGGGGAGATGTCACTGGCAAACAGTTTCAGAGGTGCCGGGAGCTGGGCAGCAGTTAGGTCTGGGTGCACCAAAACCCCCCCAGGCAGGGGAAGAGTACTTCCCAAGACGACAGTCACAGCCGCAGCCCTTGGCCTTGGAGTCTGGGTGGGTGGAGGTTGGGGCTCCCTGGGGCTGAGCACCCCCTGTAAGTTGAGAGAAGTAGGATTTTTTTGCCATCTCTAAGGGTCACATGAAAGAGTGTGCTCTGAAGATCATTTTCTGAGTTCTGGGGTGGGGTGAGAGGCCACAGAGCCCCCCACGGAAGGCAGAGTGATAATGCACACAGCATCCCTGAGACAGGCAGCAGCCTCCATAGAGAAAGGGGTCTGTGGCGCACAAGGGGCTGAACCAGTGTGGTGCGGGAGGCTGAGCTTCTCAGGCTGGAAGAAAAGACTGTGGTGTTTACCAGAGAGATTTACTTATTTATTTGTACTGGGGATTTGTACCCAGGGCCTCATGCATGCTAGGCAAGCTCCACCCCCCCCCCCCATGCATTTTATTTATTTATTTTTTTGGTACCAGGGATTATCGAACTCAGGACCTTGTGGGGAGGCAGGCTGTGGCACCACTGAGCTAAATCCCCCACCCTCTTTGTACTTTATTTTGGAACAGGGTCCTACTAAGTTGCCCAGAATGGTCTTGAACTTCCAGTCTTCCTGCCTTGGCCTCCCAGGTAGCTTGGAGGACTGGGTTGGACCATATCCAACTGACAAGAGATACATTTTGGTGATGAGGACAAAGCCAGGTAGAGCATAAGTGGACAGGAAAAGATACTTTACAGAAACACTAACCAAAAGGAAAGCTGGCCTGGCTATATTAATGCCAAAGACTTCAGAGGAAAAAGAAACCCTAAATATAAATAAGGACAATTCTTAGTAATAGAGTGGCAATAGGAACGTATCTAATAACAAAACTTTAAAATGTATAAAAGAAGAATTATCAAAACTAAAAGGATCAATAGACAAATCCACAGTTATAGTTGAAGATAAACATATCTATTAGAAAATGATGGAACATGGAGATAAAATAAGGATAAGACAAAATAAAATAATAATAAGGGTATGAAAGATTTAAATGTGGTTTACTGAGTTAGACTAAACTATATTCCAGCTAAGGGTAGGACACTATTCTTTTTGAGGGGACAATTTATCAAATTGGCTACATTTCAAAATTTGTGAATTGTTAATTAAATTAGTCTACAAAGCAAAATATACTTTAGACAAAAGAAAAAATGCTGGAAATAAAAAATCTTAGCTGCCATCTCAAGAAGAAAAAGAGTAGCCAATTAAACTCCCAGAAAGTAGAATGAAGGAAATCATAAAGTGCAGGAGTCCTTGAAATAAAGTCAATACAGAAAATCAACAAATTCAAAAGTTAATTAATATTGGTAAGTTGATAGTCCTAACCACATTGACAAAAGAAGAAAGCAAATAATTCACCAACAGCTCCTGTGGATGTGGAAAACATGAGCAGCATATGCAGGTAAGCTTCAGGTGAAGCTTCGATGAAGTGGGCATGTTCTGTGAACTAGCACAACTTAACCAAAATTGACATAAGAAGAAAGAGAAAATCTGCATAGCCCTATGGCTGGTTAAAGAAATTAAATTTATAATTAATACTATTTCCACACAAAAGCCACATCTTGCTGGCTTCACAGGTAAATTATTCAAGTATTTAAGGAATAAAACTAATTCCATCCAATCAGTGGGAACATTTTTGAGCTTATTTATAAAGCCAGCACAACTACAATTCCAAAACCAATGATATTATTAAAAGAGAGAATTTTGTGGTTCTCACCTATGAAAATAAATAAAAGAATAGTGATAAGGTAGTAACAAATCAGATCCAAGCTGGGCATGGTGGCGCACGCCTGTAATCCCAGCACTCAGGAGGCTGAGGCAGGAGGATCACTGTGAGTTTGAGAGCAGCCTGGGATACATAGTGAGTTCCAGATCAGTCTCAACTACATAGTGAGACCCTGTCTCAAAAAACCAACCAACCAACCAAATAAACAAAAAAACCCAAAACAAAACAAAACAAAAAGACAAATCAGATCCAGCAACTAATTGAAAAGATAGTCATGATCAAGTTGAGTTTATTCTAGAAATGCAAAGATTGATTTAATATTCTAAAATCAATGAATATAATTCCATGTAATAATGTTATAAAAAGGGAAAAACCAATACGATCATTTCAACTGACACAGAAAAAGCATGTAATAAAATTCAACTTCATATGTAAACTCCTAGAAATCAGGAATGGAATGGGATTTCCCTAATCTGATGTATTGTTCTGTCAAAAAGCTAACATGTACATGAGGTGAAATATTTAACATTTCCCACTCAAGTTCAGGGCCAAGAAAAGTATGGCTGCTTTCACTCCTTCTGTTCAATATTTCACTAGCAAGGACATCAAATACAAAAGACAATGAAAGAAATAAGAGTTTTAAAGATTGCAGTTAAAGGAAACCCAATTATTTGCAGATGCTTAAGGCTTAGCCTGTCCCTGCTGAAATAACAAAATACCACAGATTGTGTAATTTGTAAGCAACTGTGGGATTTAGTTTTCATGGTTTCAAAGGCTGAAAAGTCTCAGACTGGGCACCAGTAGGTTGTATCTGGTGGAGGCCTGGCCTTGCTCCCCACAAGATCACCTTGAATGCTGTGTCCACCTGGCAGGGAACGAAGGGCAGTGTAGCGGTGGCCAGCTCCCACCCTCCTCTTCTGTAAGGGGCTGTCTGGCCATACTGCATAGGGTCCAGCTCTTCAGAATCTCACACTGGCAGTTAAATTACAGCGTATGAATTTTGGTGGGACACATTCAGGCCATGGGAGGGCGGTTCAAACTATTGGAATTAAAAAGTGAATCTATCAAAGTGTCCAGATGCAAAGTAAATACATAAAAGTAAATTTCGTTTCTTTAAAGGAGCAATGAACAACTGTACAATGAAAAAAATTAAAACAGCATTTAAAAATAAGGTATCAGAAAAATTAAATACCTAGGAATAAATTTAATGGAAAAAATGTAAGATTTCTACCCTGAAACTAAAAAATATTGCTGAAAAAAGATTAAAAGAGATCTAAATAGGTGAAAAGAAATACCATACTCATTGATTAGAGCAGGTAGAGATAACAGTTTTTCCAAAGTTGATCTGTAGATTTGTGAAGGGTAATGCTGGTGTCAACTTGATTACATTCAGAGATGGACTGGGGCCTAATGATGCATCTCAAGGTCTTGAAAGGGAAGAACAATCTAAATCTGAAACTAACAGAAGGAAACAAATTACAAAGATAAGAGCAGAAATTAATGATGTTGAGACTGAAAAAACAATGCAAAGGATCAGCAAATCAGAGGTGGTTCTTTGAAAGAGTGGGAAGGGCACCAAGGGGGACAGGAGGGAGAGGAGGGGGAGGGGAAGTAGAAAAGATGGAGATGTGATTTGTATCTGTACCAGCTCCCCCATGGTGAATGTATTTACTATGTGTTTCAAAAATATACTAATTAAAATTTTTGAGAAAAAAAGGAATTTAAGTGACTTGAATCTCAATTGGGAAGAAGAAAAAAAATTGGAGGCCTTCTACACACTATAGCAATGCTCCCTCCAGTGCTGTGGCAGTGAGGTCAGTGAGGCCGAAGAACAGATGGGTGAAGAGAGCAGAAGAGTCTGGGGACAGACCTGAGTGTATGGGCCCAGTCACGTGATCCAGGAGAAGGCTGGCGCTGTAGGTCAGCAGGGAGGGGTGATCTCCCCATAAACAGTTCGGGAAGAGTGGACATCTGTGAGGTAGCAGAGAAAATGAGAATGCTGACCCTTATATCCTGCTGTCCTCAAAGATGAAGTCAAGGTGGGCCATGGGCCTAAAGAAAGTAAAATAATGAAGCTACTAGAAGAAAACAGAAGGCCATTTTTGTGGTCTTGGTAGGTAGATATATCTCAAGCAGGGTGCAGATACACTATTCATGTAAGTACACTATTCGTAATCACGCACTAGTCATTATTCAGAAAAGCTTGTGCCTTGGACCGTAAAGAATTTCTGCCCATCAAAAGGGCACCAGTGAAAGAGACAAGGCAAATTGCAGACCGGGAGAAGATACTTTCAGGATGTATGTCGGGAAGAAATCGTGCTCAGTTATAACAACGACCATAAAATAGTAAGGAAAATAACCGAGTTGAAAAAATGGGCCAAAGCTTGAAAGCGGGCTTCAAAAAGAGGATACTTTTAAATGACTAATAACATATGGAAAGTTCCCCAACTTCATTGATCATCAGGGAAATGCAAATTAAAATTATGAAGTTATCGTTTTATATCTAGTATTGTAACTATATTTTTTAAGTGCCAAATATTGAGTGGGGTGGGGAGCAGTGGAAGACTCCCTTATACATTGTTTGCTACCAGGAATGTTAAGTGGTTAAGTTCTCCTCTTTGGAAAAGGATTTGGTGGCTTCCTAAAAAGTTAAATGTGAAATTTTCTACTGACCCAGCAGTTCCGCTCCTAGGTGTCAGCAAAAAAGAGAAACAGAAACATAAGTCTGCAGAAAGACCTGGGTGTAAGTGGTCATAGAAACATCATTCATTCTAGTCAAAAGGTGGAA